AGACTCAGCGACAGCAAATGAAGGAAAAAGCAAGTAAAAAAGTATCAGTCCGTTTTGTCTTGTTTCGCAAGTTATGACATATATAAGTATTGGGAATTGTGACCCTTTGTGATTGAGGTACCAGAAGGGTTTGGCAGATATCTATCGTTTTCACAACAGATTTTGTCTTAGCAAAAATGTTTGGATGTGTGAAACAGAGGGCTGCAACGAGTATGCAAAAATTTAAGCATACTCGGTTTCTTACATGATTTTTGTTGATGCAGTCGTTTAGTTTGATCTGAATGAAATGACCGTTTTCGCTTTTGATCGAATCGAACGCTCAGTTTGAATCACTTCACTCACAATCAAACATGAGCGTTCGAGACGGTTTGATGTGTTCAGCAACATGAGTTGATCGAACACATGAATGTAAATGAGCAATCACAACCGTGATTGCCTTCTTTGAATCGAGTTCAGCGTCATTGTTTATTCAACCATTTAATCAAGTTGGGACAGTTTATTTTGACTTTTTTATTATTTGAAATGGAAGAATATTGTGATAGTGCGACCGAAATTATTGCAAGTAGAAACTACACAGGTGAAGGTAAATCTTGACCAATATTGTAAAATAAAAAAATATTTAAACATTTGTAGTTTTCTAAATACCAATGGTGTGTTTCTTTATTAAAAAATTTAATTTTGTTTTTTTTTTTTAAATAAGGTACTGAAGTCTAGCATACCAAAAACACAAATAAAATGAAAAATTGTATGCTTATTAAATATAATTTGTACCAATTTCTTTAATGGGGACATCTTTTAGTTATGAAATCCTTAGTAAAATTACAATCATGATTTCGCTCAAATTCGAACATTTGTGTTTTAATCAAATCAAATCACTCACTTAACTAGGATAAATAAAACCGATCAGACTCATCATAGATGATCGACCAGTTATGAACAATTCAACATAAGTTCGTAAACAAATAACTCACATGAGCTGTTTGAATGCGATCATAAAAATTCGATCAATACATGTTTGATCACAACTTTTTCGTTTGGCTTGAGTAACTCGAATGAACATGTTGCATCTGACCGACTGATTGAGTTTGATTGTATTTCCACTGTGTGTGATCAAGCCTACTCAATCATACTCATTGCAGCCCTCTGGTGTGAAATTTGGAGAGATGGATAATTATTTCGGGTTTTTTAAAATTTTGAACCCTTTGTGGGGTGGTACCAGAAGGACTGCGCCGATATATCCCATTTCCACAGCAAAACTTGTGTAAGTAAAGATAATGTGTGTAAAACTTGAGGAGATCCGGATGCTTATTTCAGCTTTTTTGATCGTTTTGGTTATTCAAATTTTGACCCTTTGTGGGAGAAGTACCAAAAGAAATGCTCCGACCTCTACCATCTTTATAGCAGTTTTTGTTTTGATGGAAGTATTGAGATGTACCAAGTCTGAATAGAATCGTATGTTAATTTCACGTTTTATGAGTTTCATGGATACCCACAATTTTGACCCTCTGTGGAGGAGGTACTAGAAGGAGTGGATCGATACATTTCATCTTCACACCAGACCTTGGGATAATAGAAAAACTGGGATGTGTGAAATATGAAGAGAATTGGATGCTTATTTCGGATTTTATAATCGTGTTGGTTATTCACAACTTTGAACATTGGTGGGAGAGGAACCAGAAGGAATGGTCCAATCACAACCATCTTTATAACAGATTTTGTGGCGATAAAAATATTGAGATGAGCCAAGTCTGAATGAAGTACTAAGTTAATTTCGCGTTTAATGAGCATCATGGATACACAACATTTTGATCGTTTGTGGGGGAGGTACCAGAAGGAGTGGACCGATACATTCCATCTGTACACCAGACCTTGGGTTAACAAAAATATTGTGATGTGTGAATTAAGACAATCGGAAGCTTACATCACATTTTATAAGAGTTATAATTTTTCAAATTTTTGAACCTTTGTGAGGTACTTGATGGAGTGGACCGATATTGACCATTTTCGCACCTGACTTAGCACTGATGCAAATATTAGAATTTGCAAAATATATTAATATATGGGGAGGTACCAGAAGGAGTGAACCGGTTTGCCCATCTCCGAACAAAAATATGACGATATACCAAGTTTGGATCAAATAGGATACTCCCTTCGTGAGTTATCGTGCGCACCAGCCAGACAGACAGATAGACGGATCGACTCCAAATGTCCAGAAATGGACCTAGGGTCTAAAACCGTTATCTCGAAGAGGCACGTTTTGGCTGTATCAAATGTTATATACCCTCTCTAGCCATATGGCTGAGGGTATAATCAATCAATTATTTATTTTCATCACATGAAGGTCTATTTAATACCACCAATAGACCGTCATGCTCATCCACTGTTACGAATATTAATTTTTGTCTAACGACTTGTATACGCATCTGTCATCGGCATCTTTACGCAAAATCTACGCTTTTGTGGAGGAGGTACCAGATCAAATTCAAGATTATTTAAGCTTTAAGTTTCTCAAAAAAAAAAAAAAAAAAAAAAAAAAAAAAACAAGTAAAGATGTAGGCTTGAAAAATCCGCTCTATAATGTTTTTTTTTTTGCCTCTTTTACTTGTTGCTGACACAATTTCAATATTTATAAATACTATATTTGAACATTTGGTAATAATCCTATACAAATATGCCACTATCTACACCAAAAGTAATATGCAATTCAACGTTATATCAGTTGAAAGATAAATGGCACTTTCATTTCATTTTACCCCAGCACTATCGCTAGTGGTTCCATATTGCCCAAGTATGAGACCGCACCAGCATAATAAATATTGGTAAACGCTTTCGCCCCTCAATATTGTCGTTCACCGTTAATAGTGCATTATTTACAATCCTTTGTTCCACTTTTTATGGTAGTTTTGTTGTCAGTGATGGTTTCCATTAATGTCTCCTTTCCTCTCTCTCTCTTCACCTTCTCACGTTGTCTTTTTAAGTATTTCACCAAAATGTCGTGAATTGTTGATAATGAAGCTGTTGAAAAGCTGTTGCGTCTGCTGTTGCTGCCGTCTGGTTTTGTTGTGATGGTGGTGGTGGTTCCACTTTTTTGCATTTGACTCTTCTCCTTTTTTCCAATCAATTGATTTTAATACGGGCGAATGACTGAATATACTCCAAATAATAAAAAAAAATAAAAAACTGCAAATCCAATTATAAACAATCTTATTGTATTTATGTGTGTAATTTTATACATCCAATGTTTATGGGGAGTGTGTGTGTGTGTTTTGAATGCACATTGCAAAAAAATAATATAAAATGCACTGGGGCAACACTATCTCTGTTGGGGATCCATGTCATTTTGCGATTAAATGCACGCTGAACAATGTCTTATTGGCGTGGCTATTTATTTTCTTGCCAAACATAATAATCACCCGACACTATCGTACAGATTAAGTGCAGGCTTTGTGAATGAGATAAAACGATTTGTTCGAATTATATTTGTAAAGAACGTGAAATGAATTTTTCATTAAAAACGTGCGACTGCAAACTATAGTCGCCGCATTTTATGTGGAAACGTTTCGAATTTCTATAAGGAGTTTTTCGTTGTTAGTTCTGAATGCTATGATTTTTTTAACGAAACATTTTTGGCTGGCTCACTATCTCAAATGTAAAATACACTTGTAAAATATTATTAAAATTCTTAAATTACCAAAAAGTAGGGTAGTTCCGATAATGAGTTCAATACAAAAACCATGCAATGGTTGCAATTTATATAGAATCTGCACGAGATCGTGAACCTATATATGCAATTTTTATCGAGAGGAACTGGTACCTAATGTGAACTCCAAATTTTAATAATTCTATCGTCAAATGTGGCCTCAGTCATCCAAGTTCCGAAAATAGATTGGCATGGGCATATGTATGGGGTCTTGGGAACGGGGAACTTTTTTCGGATAGAGGTGTTGGTATCAAATGCAAAAACAAACTATTTATTTGTAAATTGCATCTGAAATATTAAAAATGCCTCAAATCGGCAAGTATTTTCGTGATTGGTTTAAATGATTGAAAATATATATTTATGGGGTCTAAAAAGATCATTTGAAGGGGTTACGAAATTCCTTAAAAAAATTTCGTAACGTGTAGACAAATGTAAATTTAACCTAAGTCACAATCCAAGCGAATTTTTCTCGAGTTCAGAAAGCGTGATAGAGTGAAAGAAAGGGAATGAAAGTGAGAGAAGAGAGAGTAAAAAGTAAAAAAGAAGGTAGAAAAATATAGGGCATTTTAAACCAAGTTTAAAGGTATCAGACGGTTTGAGAACAGGTTGGATATACCCATCCCATATTGACCCTTTGTGGAGAAGGCACAAAAAGTATTGCAAGAAAAGTTCCATATTCACACTAGATATTATGTTACAGGATGTAAAGCATTTAAAAGAAGTATTGGTGAATTATTTAGCGTTATTTTTACCGTTTGTGGGGAGGTATAAAATATATATTTTTGCAGAAAATTGGTGACATGATGCGTATGTTGTAAGAGTTATAATTATTAAATATGATCCAGATCCAGAATTGTTAAAAATATTGTGAGGTGACAAGTTTGGAAAGAATCGGATGCTCATTTCGCATTTTATGAGGGGTCTGTACTATCAAATCTCTCGGTTAAACTGCTTAAGAAATGCCAACTAGTTTTTAATAGCGCTTGAGGGTAATAACAGATGCTACTTCATTGAAAAATTCTTCCACCTACGAGTATATGTTTGAGAAGAACAGAAAGTCTAGTGCTGAGAATAGTTCTCAAATTACTGTCATTTTTATCCTCTAATCCTGCCCAACACAAAAATACTGCTACCTCCTTCCCTTGTATCCCCATTTTCGTTCTTGTAATATAGTGTAATTATCATAGCAACAAATAAAAATGAAACCTTTTTTGCCTTCTTCTCCTGTTTTTTTTCTTTGCTTATCTTTCAAATATTGACAAATGTAATCTCTTTGTCTTTCTGTGTCATTATATTTCAGGAAATTCAATATATATGTATATAGTCAACAACACACAACAACAACAACGGTGATAGAGCGAACGAACGAACCAACGACTGTGAAGTGTTTCAGTTCATTGTTTGGTTTTCACCGTATTTGTCTATAAAAGAAGGAAGAGGAGCAGCCAAGGCAAAATAGATTGCACATCAGCGTATTTTCGCAAAGAAATAATAACAAGAAAGAAACAAAAACTACAACAGAACTGCAACGCCACCGCAATTGGTGGGGACCCAAACAAATGACGAGAAGGTAAGAAAATACGTATATAGGTAGGTTAGGTATAAACGAAATTATAATCGGTTTTTGCATTTGCAAAATAGAAAAAAATAATAAAAAAAAAACAAAAGGCGAAATTCTCATTATCGTATCACGGTGTAATGGTCACACATTGTGTGCGGAAAATATGTGAATTTTAATAGACATATAAATAATAGTGAAGGGATTATAAATATAATATTCGTACAGATAGTTAGATGGATTCGAAACATTTCAGTAGATCACCTATTTTCAAACTTGAAATAAGGGTTTCTTTAGGATTCTACACTTGAAGTATTTGATAGACCTGAGAGTAAAAATCCATGGGATCCAAACGGTATTAGACACAAATAGATGGCCCAATTTGGCAGAAGCCTCTCTATGTACCAATATGCATATTAAAACATACAAATATAGGACACATTTCCAAACCACCCCCATATCTCAAATATGGATACCATCAGTAATCTAAATATCAAATTTCGGAATTTTATATCTATCAGTTTACACAATATTCATTCAGTACTTTTCGTACAATTATGGTACACATTTCCGAAACCACCTGCATATACCCAGGCTACACATGAATTTCGACCCTTATGCCAATTTTCAAGCACTATTTGTTGGCCAAACACCAATTGTACCAAATATAGGACGCATTTCCAAACCACCTCCAAACACAGATTTCATCAGAATTCTAAATATCAAATTTCAAATTTTTTCTCTATCCCTTCACCCAATAGTAAAAATATAGTACCGTGCAAATTGGTACTACACTTATATATACATTTCCGAAACCACCTCCATGGTGAGATAGAAAACTGCAACAAAGTCAAACGGCATTTTTTTACATCTTTTTTTTAATTTTATTGAATAAAAGCAAAAAATGTCGAAAATAGCATCAAATTTTAGAATAAGTATAGATTTGTTCGAATTGGTCACCTTTGGCACGAATTATGGGCTTCAAACGGCCAATGACACCGTCACACGCTGCCCGAATTTTGTCTGCGGTATTTTGGTGCATTCCCGGCGAAGTGCTTGCTTGAGGTGATCGACACTTCGGTATTTTTTAGTGGCAACCTTGCTTTTCAAAATACTCCAGACGCAATAGTCCAACGGATTGGTATCCGGAGATTTTGGTGGCCAATGTGCACTGGAAATGAAGCGAGGAACCTTATTTTGTAATCATTCTTGGTGTTGAGTGCGGCCATAATGTTTGCGTGCCCAAGGCTTTAATACACCCTCCAGAATATTTTCCCGATAACTTTCGGCATTTATTCTGATGCCACGGTCTATTAATACGAGCGGAGACCGACCATCGGCTGTTATGGCGGCCCACACCCTCACCATGGCCGGCGCTTGAGTTCTGGTGGCCAACCGAAAGTGCACATTTTTAGCTGACCTCTTTGACAAGTAAACACGATCATTTTGTTTGTTTACAAACTGCAAGACAACGAATGTTTTCTCATCGGAGAAAAACCAAATTCGGCAGTTCTTTCGGCCAAGCGAAGCAACTCTTTAGCTCTTTTGAGTCTATTTTCTTTCTGTTGCGGTGTAAGTTCTTGCACTTTTTGGAATTTCAATGGCCTTACCCCGAGCTCATTTTTCAATATTTGCCTAATGGAATATTGCGATATGTTCGGCTCACAAGCCATTTTTCGGCCACTGCTGCGCGGGTTTCGATCAAGTCGCTTCTTTACTTTTTGAACCATTTCAGCTGATGTTTCTGTTTTCTTCCGTCCACTTCCTTGACGTCGGGCTACTCTACCTGCATCACGATAACGAGTTATGGTACGAGACACAAAAGATTTATTCACATTTAAATGCTGGAGTGCTCTAACGATAGCCACTTGTGGTTTTCCAGCTAAATACAAAGAAATCACACTATCACGCTTGAATTCCATCACGAATAACTTCTCACTAAAATGCTTTTGTACGATTGTAAACATTATAATGAGCTGTCACTGGAACAATTTTAACAGCTGTCGGACGATTGGCTTAGAAATGACAGCAGCCTGAAGTTGATTGCAGGTTTTTCATCTCAGCTAAAAGCGCTAACTACAGTAGAACTCCAATTATCCGAATCACAAAAAATTGTCCAAAAAAAGTCTAAGTGCGCTATATTCTTCCCCCCGCCAAGGCAGTGTTTGCGCGTCAAGTCTTGACTTCGCGGGGGGAAGTCAGTGTAGGCACAACGGCAAGTTAAGACAACTTCCAGCGCATTGCAATCACGGCGCACCTGTCATTGTTTGTTTTTATTAGCCAGTATATATTTGAAACATGTGAAAATTTCATGTTTCTTTCATTTAATTCAATAAAAATATCAAAACGTAGCTTTTATTCTCTCCAATGCCAATTTTTAAAAAAAAAAAAATCCGATTATCCGAATATTTGATTATCCGAATGGGTTTCGGTCCCCATTAATTCGGATAATTGGAGTTCTACTGTACTCATTCGAATTAGTAGCTATTTTTCAAGACTCCTACCATTTTCTGATGATTTTAGAATAAAGTTACATTGGCAGCAGCTGATATCTTCTTTTTACAGTTGGGAATGTAGGTCCTCGCCTAAATAAAAACATTTTGAGATCAAAGTGGGCTCATAAATCGTATTATTTCAAAATGCAGACAATTATTTTGGAATCAAAATTTATTATATAACATTGTCCATCTTTTTTATTTATTTAAATTATATAGCTTTTAAAATTTAACAAAATCGTTATTGTTTCCCTTTCAGATTCTAATGAGTTCTCTTCATTTGTGGAAATAAACTGGACCTTTGACAGACATCAAATGCAGACGCTTGGATAGCCTGTCAAATAAGAACGTTGTAGTTGGTTGGTACTGAAATAAAGGATAATTAAACCAAACTATAATTAAGACTTGTCCAAATCCAATTATCGTCGGCGAATGCACTCCAACTATCCACGCCGGAGAGTAGCGCGCTAAATTGTAAACAAGTTCCAAGTGGACACAAAGAACTTCAATGAATTTTAGTAGTTTGAAAACAAAGAGGATACGTGATTACATGTTTCCCATGTCTCGTTGTATTTATTGAAAGCTGAAGGATATCAACCGGAAAGTGTTTATCAACAACAACAACAAGAACCTCTACAGGAAAATTGCTTCCTTTGTTTGGTCATTTTGAAAAAACCAAACAAAAACCTCAAATACAGTTCGCTGTGGCTTTTTTTTCGGTTTTGCTCTGGAGAGCAGCAGATAACAAACAAAAAGCAAATAGCGACAGTCTGTCTGGCTGGCTGGACAGCGTCTAGTTGCATCAATCTAAACTAAAGTGATATTCAACAACGTCAACACAAAGTGACATCGATTAAAGGTGTAGTGAGAGTGAGTGTGGGAGAGTGGAAATTGCAGAGTGTGGCTGTGTTTGACACAAAAACGCATACAACAAAAAGAGGTAACTAGCAAGTGGGTGCAGCTATTTTTTTTTTTTTAATAATTGTTATCTAGGGAGTGGAATAGAAAAAAAAAACAGAGTGAAACACAGGACGCGAAACAAAAGTCACTTTGATTGCCGCGAGCAATGATTAACAAATTGTGAAGGTATTTGCCGTTGGAGAGTAGCGATATCAGGCAACGATAAAAGGGGGAAGGTACTAGTAAGCAACCTCAACATCTGTTAAAATAGTGAGTAATACGGTTGGACATGGTTATTTCAATTAACTGGGGTATTAAATACCATATGGGAGGATGTTTTTTTCTTGGATGTTTTTTCTGCGGAGGGTCTCATTAAAAATAAATAATGTAAACGTGAGGCTCTGATTTCTTTACGAGCTTCAACTTTTTTGCTGGTAGGAGTAGATCATTGGACTTAGAGTACTCAGATTCTGAGGCTCTGAGCTTAAACGCTTTTTCTGTGAAAATGGGTTAGGAAAGTTGGATAGGTTTCTTTTTATGGTAAAAATGTTTAGATTTTGAAAACATAATTTGTTCATCATTACAAGTATTCAAAGTTTGTAATTTTTTTTTTTTGGATAGAAAAAAAAACTATTCAGACTCTGATTTTTTAATAGAATTAAGTGGTCTGATCGTGATACTCTATTATTTATCAAAAATTTTAGAGCCTATTAACATTATTAATTTTTTCTATCGAAAAAATCCTACAATCAGAATTCGATATTTTTTTTAGAAAAAATCAAACGCCATAATTTTTATTTTTTGTAAATTTATTGAATGAGAGCAAAAATTTCGGAAATGCCATCAAATTTTAGAATTAATTTAGATTAGTTCGAATTTGTCACCTTTAGCACGACTTATGGCCTTCATCCGGCCAATGAAAACGTCACACGATGCCCGAATGTTGCTCTGCGGTATTTTGGCCCACTCTCGGCGAATCGCTTGCTTGAGGTGATCGACACTTTGGTTTCTTTTAGTGCCAACCTTGCTTTCTGAAATACTCCAGACACAATAGTCCAACGGATTGGTATCCGGTGATTTTAGTAGCCATTGTGCAGTGGAAATGAAACGAGGAACCTAATTTTGTAACCATTTTTGGGTAGCGCGTGCTTTCGCGATAATATTCGGCATTTATTCTGATGCAACGGTCGATCATCACGAGCGCAGAGCAACCATCGGCTGTTATGGCGGCCCACACCATCACCATGGCCGGCGCTTGAGTTCTGGTGGCCAACCGAAGGTGCACATTTTCAGCTGACCTCTTTGGCAAGTAAACGCGATCATTTTGTTTGTTTACAAACTGCTGGACAAGGAATGTGTTCTCATCGGAGAAAACCAAATTCGTCAGTGTACCACTTTCGGCCAAGCGAAGAAACTCTTCAGCTCTTTTAAGTCTATTTTCTTTCTGTTGTGGTGTGTTCTTGCACATTTTGGAAGTTCAATGACTTTACCCCGAGCTCATTTTTCAATATTTGCCGAATGGAATATTGCGATATGTTCAGCTCACGAGCCATTTTTCGGCCGCTGCGACGCGGGTTTCGGTCAAGTTGCTTCTTTACTTTTCGAACCATTTCTGCTGATGTTGCTTCCGTCCACTTCTATGACGTCGTGCTACGCTACCAGTATCACTGTAACGACCGATGGTACGAGACACAAAAGATTTATTCACATTTAAATGCTGGAGTGCTCCAACGATAACCACGATAAACTTTTCTCACTTTTTTCTGGAAAATTCTCACCAAAATGCTTTTGTATGCTTGTAAACAATGTAATGAGCTGTTACTGGAATAATTTTAACAGCTGTCGGACGAGTGGCTTAGAAATGACAGCAGTCTGAAGTTGGTTGCAGTTTTTTCATCTCACCCTGTGTGTATGTTTTTATGTTAAGAATTGTTAAGATTTTGAACGCATATTTTTCCATCATCGAATGTAGCCGTTATATAAGAGACTATACGACGGCGTGGACATGCAAAGGCAACTTTTGTCATAAGCGATTAAAATATTCAAATGCGAAACTTGGAAATAAAATGTGTAAAAACATTGGTTTACATAGCTGGTGTTGGAAAATCCCAAGCCCAAAACTCGATTGAAAAGAATCAAATTAAAAAAAAAACGTTTGTTCGTGAAGCCCGTGGGGACATCTTAGAAGGGGAAATTCATAGATAAAAGCAAAAGGTACCAAATCTAGAAACTTTGGCTCCCGAAATTAATTGTTAAACTAAAATCTCCTGACCTGAGAAAAATAATCTATAATTTAGTATATATTTATATGGATGTCCATAACTTCCCTTTTTTGAGGTTTTTATAAAAAATGCGATTCCAAAAAATCGATAATTTAGGTAAACCTCCCGAACCGTTTTAAACAACCTCATCGTATCCACCAGTTGGATGGGTAGATCCATTAGCTTTCAAATATTATTTGTTTATCTCTGTTTTTACATACGGATCTAACCTGAATTTTCGGTGGACTCGGATTTTCGGGTCAAATACCCGAGTGTCTGGGACCGTTCCCAATAGACATTACTTTTGAAGAAACAGGGTATTAATACCTATCTCTGGAAAAAAGTGTAAAAAATCCGATATTTTAGAGTTATTCCTCCAAAGGCTCTATTATTTAGATCTGGGTCTAACTCGGTTCTTCGACACGGGTTTTCGGGTCAAATATCCGGGTTTCCGGGACCTTACCTCAAGAAAAATTTATTTTCAGGAAACAGGGTATAAATACCTATCTCTGGAAAAAAGTTTAAAAAATCCGAGAGTTTTTACTAGCCTAGAGTTATTCCTCCAAAGGTTCTCTTTCTGATCTAAGTCGGTATATATTTCATAGAAATCATAATTACAGAAGAAGGAGCAAACCTATCTTCTAAATACAATTTTTTTTCTTTTGGTGCCCCTGTTCTGTCAAACTATATACAGAGGTCTTATAGATCCGGGTCTAATCTGGTTCATGGACCTGGGATTTCGGGAAAAATGTTCCTGGTATCCGGCACCGTTCCCCATAAAAAATGACTTTCCCGGAATCAGGGAAATAAATTTAAGAAAAAAAATCCGGCAGTTTTTACTGGACTACAATTGGTTCTCCTTCAGATCTAAGGATGTATGGTTACCTTTCATAGAAATAATTTTAAGATTTCATTTTTATTTTGAATCCTATTCTTTGGAAATAACCTCTACGTGCCTTAACCATGTTCGACTGTAAAAAATTAGTAATCAAAATAAACAAAGATAGACTAGCACAATTACACTATGTGTGTGTGCGTGCATGTGTTACCAGATCAAAGTATAAAGAAAACCAAATTACAAAAAACCAGAAAAAAATCAGCAACAATTTAAACGTAATAAAATATAATTAAAAAACACATACACAAGACCATTGAAAAAAAAAGAACGTGCTAAACAAAAAACAGCTGTTGACGACGACAAGGAAGAGAAGAACATTAACGACATTTGTTCGCTCGCTCGCTTGCTGGCCTGCTTGTATTCATTCTAATGACTGGTTTTGTTATTCTGGAGTATCTAACCTTACGAACGACCATCAACCTCACCAAGACCGCTGATACCGCGACAGCAGCCCCACCGCTCTCTTCCTGTCGAATCCTTGGTCTTTGTTAAAAAACGCTGGATGGCTGTTTGGTTGGTTGGCGAGGTGTTGTTGTTGTTTATACATACCCCCAATGCCTGTTTGTTGACTCCAACAGCAGCAGCAGCAGCAGCTGTTGTTGTCGTGATCCCCTTTTCTTTTGCAATTGCATTCACCAACCAGCCAAGCGTTGTGCATTTTCCCCCTTCCAACCGAAAGAAAAAAAATATAATCTCAAAGAAAACAGCTTGAACACAAACAGTCATTGCCGCTGCTGCCGCCGCCGCGGGTTTGCATGGCTCTTTATTTGTTTGTTTGTGTGGTGGGAACAACAGAGCGCGCAAGAGAGAGCCATGCAGCCAGTCAGTTATTCATACGGTCACACAATGCTCAGGCAATTTACAAAACAGCTACGACGATTCAGTCCAATACTGCCATCATAGTCGTCATACTGCCACTGCTGCAAATGCATGCGTTTCAGTTCTGTTTCTTCGGTTTCCAACGTATACGAGGTTGACTTCTTTTTTTTTCGAAAAGTCACAGCTTGTTTTTCCGGCAAAGTGAATGTTGTGAACGAATACGAAAATTCGATTTTGCTGCGAATTCTGGTTGATATCTACTCCCAATACGTCGCGCTCCATTCCGCGCACAAATTGTTGTTGTTGTCTATCCATTTTACGGTCTCTCTGTCTGTCCGCCTTGTCTGCTGGTGGATATCTTTTCTTTGTGTCTGTCGGTCGTTCGGTCGTGGTGCAGTCAGCCAAACAAACAGCTAGCGAGCCAGCCATCCGTGTGGTGTATGCAACAACATTTCATTCTCGTGTGACTCTTTGGAACGTTTAGTTGTGGTTTCTCCAGAGTGGTAGAAGAGCTGATAGCCCACCAGCTGTCTGCCTAACTTAATAAAAAAATCAAAAAAAGAAGAAAAAAAAAACAAGCAAATGAACTGAGTGACTGACTGATTGGTTTTTGCTCTAATTATTTTTGCGCGGAAGACTGTTTTTGCTGTGAATTGAAATAATAATAAAAACAACAAAAAAATATTTGAAAAATCGCAACAAATCGTAGTCGACGAAGAAACCAAAAACTCGACTATTTTTTAAAGAAATAAATCCAACCACAATTTGTGGCAAAAAATAAAACAACAACAACTAAAGTAGTTCAAAACGATCTGCAACTTTATCGCGTGTGTTGTGTTTTCTAAACAAATAAATTGTTGCTAGATTTTTTTTGTGAATTTACATTCAAAAAAAAAAAAAATTCGAACTTTGAAGTAAGTGCTGTTGTCTTCAATATTATTTTTTATTTTTAATTTCATTCAAATGTCATGATTTTTGTGTTAATTTGAATTTTTTTCCTTAAATTAAATGTGCCTTTTTTCTCTCTCTCGTTATTTTTAGATTGAAACGAAATTTTTAAACGGTCATCTTGTGTAAACAAATCTGTCGAAAATTGTATACAATCAATACGACGACACACAGAAGAGCAAAACAAAAATTTAAAACCGCCAACAAAGAAAGAGGAAGCATTTTGCCCCCAAAAAGATTCAACAACAAAAAATCAAACAAAGAGTAAGTAAATGCCGCTGCTGATGCTATTGTTGTGGTGGTCTGGTAATGCTATTGCAACAAGTAACATAAGTGAACAAAAAAACGCTACAAATTTGAATATCGGATTTGGAGGGGGATTTTCCCAAATTAAATGAATAGATGCAAATTCAATAAGATATTGATTGCAGATTTAAATATTTTCCTGATATTGATATTTGCATTTCAAATTTCAAGTCGAGGAACAATTGACAATCTAGGAACGATACACCTCTGGGTTTCCAAAGGGAGATCAAATTCTATTGAATGATTCGAACTCGGTTTTAATCTACATATATCTTCATTCGGACCTATTATTAAGTCGATAATACTATTAATCGTGAAGATTTTGAAGCCTCTGCTCAGTATGATTTTTATACATTCAACCATAAGATGACATTACGTTTGCAACACCTCGAAATATTCCTCGGAGACACCATAAAACGCGTATATTCGTAAACAGCATAAAATTCTATGTCGTTTTAATGAAGTCCGTCCGTCCGTTTGCCTGTGGAAATCAGTACAAATAAATTATGTTAGGCAAAAATGTTTGCATTACATTGATCTACAGCCTAATATTTATGTACATCCTGATTTGCGGTATTTGGAAATTATACCAATTTCAAACCAATTTCCAATCATATCAGGTGTAATTTTCATACCCTCCAGCACATATATAGTATGGAGGGTATATTATCGAAATCGAAATACAAATTTTAGACATAAAAATATATATATTCTTGATCAGCGTAATATTCTTAGACGTCCGTCCGTCCTTCTATCTGTTGTAATCACTCTAGAGTCAAAACAAATAAAGATAGGAAGCTAAATTTTTGCACAGATCAGTTTCGGTCCAAGATATCGTATAGCCCCCATATAACTGTACCCCTCGATATTAGGTATTTTGACGATTGTAGCCTAATATGACATAAAATTGCGTAGGTAGGCCCACGTCTTCGTATAGCCTCCATATAACAATACCTCCCAATATTCGATATTTTCATGATTTTAGGGACATTCTTGACCGGAGTTGTTGCAAGTTTCGTATTTAGAATTCGTAATGGGTACTACAGCCTATGACATAAAATTGCGTATGCAGGTCCATGTATACGTATAGCCCCCCATATAACGGTACCTTCCGATAGTCGGCATTTTAATGATTTCAGCCACATTATACACCGGAATCGTTTCAAATTTCGTATTGGAAGATCTTGATGGGTACTACAACCTATGGCAAAACATTTCGTATGCAGGTCAACGTCTTCGTATAGCCTCCATATGACGGTACCTCCCGATACTCGGTATTTTCATAATTTTTGCGACATTATTCACCGAAACTGTAACTAATTTCGTATTTAAAGTTCGTAATGGGTACTACAGCCTATGACAAAAAAATTTCGTATGCAGGTTGACATTTTCATATATTCCTCATGTAACGGTACCTCCGATAATAGATATTTTAATCATTTTAGCGACATTATTCACTGGAACTGGAAGTTCGTAATGGGTGCTACAGCCTGTGACAAAAAATTTCGGAAGCAGGTCCATGTCTTCGAATAGTTTTCATAGAAATTGAAAGGAGTATACGATGTGGAAGTTATTTGACCCATTTAATATTTATGCCTGACTAAGAAAAATACACGAAAATCAATGAAATAATCCCTCAATATGGCTACAAAATTTTGAACGATCATAACTTTTAAAATCATTTCCCTAGGCCTAGACTGAATGTGGTTTGTATAAATCCACTTCTTCAAAGTTAAACAAGTAAAAAAACAGCTAAGTTCGGCAAGGCTACTACTACTACTCGTTTTCGGATTTTTTTTTTTTTTGAAATTTTTTGAAGTTCCTTCCAAATATTGGAGGGTATTAAAAGTTCGGCCTTTCCGAGCTTAGCTGTTTTTTTTACTTATTTAAATAAATTATGTTAGGCAACTTTGAAGAAGTGGATTTATACAAGCCACATTCAGACCATCTCCGGACTAGGTACTAAATCTGCCTTAAATTTCCTAAAATGGATTTCGTCTGAAGAAACATGGGATTTAGAGCCGTTATTTCAATGAGTCACATATTCCCCCTCTCTGTAGCCAAAATGCTGATGATGTAGAAATTTGTGTAATAATTTCTGGGTATCGAAATTGAAAGCTCAGCGTTTTGAGCACAATCTTTCTCTGTTTCTTTACTTTTATTTATTAACTCCATAAGGTCGAGTATATATTAATTTCGGCATAAAGTGTGGCGAATCTCATGCCTGCTGATATTAAATATTTTATCCACAATTTTGATATTTTGATTATGTAATTTGACATTTTGGCATCACAGAAAGTGGAATTTTTACCTGCAAAATAATTGAAAAAGTCCTAATATTTGTTATGGCTTCCATATAACAATTACTTAACTTACTTGGATTTTTTAGCATTTTTCGGTATTTTTTTACAAATTTGGAACAATTTCTTATTTTACTTAAATTTGAAAAATTTTACCCACATTTGACAATCTCATCTCACAAATGTGCTTTGAAAACTCCCAATTTAAAGATTACACGCAAGCTATGGTATTTTGATGCTTCTAGAAAGTGTAGATCTGGTCTTATCACACATTTAATGGTATCTCAACATAGTCTGAGAACTTATGTAGCTTTTTTCAACCAATTTGATAATAGTTTATGGATTTCTCATTGTGAATGGTACGGGTTCGTCCTAATTTGCTTCTTTTTCTTTGTAAAATATTTTTCAATTTTTACAAAAAAAAAAAAAAAAAAAAAAAAAACTATAATCGATTACACTGATAAATGGGAATGTGCCATGTGCAAATTATTTGTTAATTGCAATTTAATGAGAGAAGTGGAGAATTTGAAAACGCATTTAATTGTATTATCGTCATTACTTAGCATTATAAATTCACACAAAAGTTATTTGCAAACCATCAGAAAGTTATAATTGGAAATCTGTATATATGTTTATAAAGTTGATTATTGTTGAGCACTCATAAAGAGTTTAATTCCCCTAACTGATAAGATTAAGTATTTAGAAATTAGACTTTTGTTTGAGTGGACAGACAATAGATCAACATCAGACTTGAGGTAAAATATTATTTATATTTTTTAAAATTTGTCATAATTTTTTTTTAATCCTATAGTTTCAAAATATCCGCATGGTGTTAAAAGGAGTTAAGGTGGTCCACAAAAAAATATAGAGTATAATCTATTTTGCCTAATTTATTTATAGCAATTTACGGATTATTTAAAAAAAAACGATTCTTTATTGCCTATAACTTAAAATGAAATATATTCCCTAAATAAATCATATGACTTCATGTTATATATAAAAAAACGTTTTTTTTTTTTGAGGTCGTGACTACCTGTTTGTCTTACTCTAGGGCAGTAAAAAGGCTTATTATTTGGTGATACATTAGATATTTTTATAAAACTGATTAAACTGAAGTCATGTAAAGTGAATCATTTTCCTATTTTCTTCATCTCTAATCCATAAAGCATATTTAGTAATGGTCATAGAAAACAATGACGGTACCTTTTGACGCACCATTCAGCTACTGCTTAAAATCTAAAAATAGTTTTTAGAATGATATTTTTTTTTTTTGAAAAAAGAATCTATCTAGGCCGTACATCAAAGACCCTTAATAACAATGTTTTTCCAAAAGATTTATTGCATAGAAAAACCTTGACTAGTCTTTTGCAATTAAATTGGAAAATTATCGGATCAATATTAATTTGTTAATTTTTGCAAACATTATTATCAGTGACACATGAATATATTGAAAATCGGGATGTAGTAATAAACAAAATTTACCTCAATTCTTTAGAATACTTAAAGAGTAAATATACACACCTGGACTTTTGTTGTTACAAAATAGTCAGACTGAATTTCATTATTGTTGTTTTTATTAAAAAAAGTTTGTGTATTAGTGGAGAAAATTATTTTCCAAGGGATAAGGCAGGGAGGAGCCGCTTTTGGGGGCTATACGAAGGCATGTCACAGGAAGTAATACCCATTGCGAACTCCATTGAAAATGTACCAAATATAGGGAGAGATCGTTATGTGGGACAGACAGATGTATACCCCCAGCCTTGAGTTATAATTATTCTAACTGTTGACCCTTTATAGGGGAAGTTCAGAAGCACTTGGCCAATATTGTCCATTTCGATTAATTACATATTCACATCAGATTTTTGACTAAGGGAAATATTTGGATATAGCAAGTTGTATTGAATCGCCGACATATTTAGCATGTTATGACAGATATGAGTATTGGAAATTGTGACCCTTTGTGGTTGAGGTACCAGAACGGGTTGACAGACATCTTTTATCTTCACAACTGATTTTGCGTTAACAGAAATGTTTGGATGTGTGAAATTTGAAGAGAGTTGGAGGCTCATTTCGAGTTTTTTGTTTTTCAAAATTTTGAACCCATTTTGGGGGAAGCACCAGAAGGAGCGCGAGTAAAAATAATGGCATGTGTAAAATTTGATGAGAATCGGATGCTTATTTCGGATTTTATGATCGTTTTGGTTATTCAAAATTTGGCTCTTCGTGGGGAGGAACCAGAAGAAATTGTCCGATCTCTACCATCTTTATTACAGATTTGGTGCTGATAGAAATATGTAGATTTGCCAAGTCTGAATGGAATCGGATTTAAATTCGTGTTTTAGGAGCTTCATGGATACTCAAAATATTGACCCGTTTTGAGGGAGGTACCAGAAAGAGTGGACCGATATATCCCATCTTCGCAGCAGATCTTGTATTAGTAAAAATAATGGCATGAATGAAATTTGATGAGAACTGGATGTTTATTTCGGATTTTATAATCGTTTTCATTATTCAAAATTTGGCTCTTCGTGGGGAGGGACCAGAAGAAATGATCCGATCTCTACCATCTTTATAACAGATTTTGTGTTGATTGTACCAAGTGTGAGATGTACCAAGTCTGAATGGAATCGGATGCAAATTTCGCGTTTTACGAGCTTTTTGGATATTCAAATTTTGACCCTTTGTGGGGGAGCTACCAGAAGGAGTGGTTCACACTAGACCTTGTGGTTCACACCAGACCTTGTTTTAATAAAAATATTATGATGTGTGTAATTTGAAGACAATCGGACACTTACATCACATTTAATAAGAGTTATAATTATTCACAATTTTGACCCTTTGTAGGGAAGGTACTGGATGGAGTGGACCGATATTGCCCATCTCCTAACTCGATCTAAGTTTAATAATAATATTACGATGTAACGAGCTTGGAATAAATCGGATACTCCCTTTGGCAGTTGTCGTGCGCAGAAGACAGAATAGACGGGCGGACTGACATTGCTAGATCGACTCTAAATGTCCTGAAACGGATTTGATCCAAAAAGACCTAGGTCCTAAAACTGTTATTTCGATGAAGCGAGTTTTGGTCGCATCAAATGATATATGCCCTCTGTAGCCACATGGCTGAGGGTATACAAGTATGTACTTGTTTCTGGCTAAAATTTAGTTCTTCTTTTACCTACTGAATTTTTAAAACCATGCTTTTGGGCCTATGAAAACTTCAAATACTTGTAATTTGGCCCCTATTGTTATGCGTTTTCTCAATGTGTGAATTTAGTAGTTCGATTATTCCTTTGAGGGTTTGGACATATTTTTTCCACAACTCACTTTTTATGTAGCTGATTTGACATAATAATCGTAAATCCCCTTATTTTTCTCCTCATACGCCGAGTTTGTCACTAATTTTGGTTGCTCTTGAAATTAGATTTGGACATCTTTTTTCCACAACTCCCTATAGGTCCAACAATTTTATGTAGAAGATTTGACATACTTTCTGTCATAAGTCCCCCTAAGTTTCAAGATTTGATATACATTTTCCCCATTCGCCGAGTTTGTCACTTATTTTTGTTGCTCTTGACATTACCTTTTTGAATTTTTCATAAATTATCTAATATTTGTTTCTTATTTACAGCTTTACAACAAACTACAAACCAACAACACACCTCTCTCTTTCTCTCTTAAAAATGGTGAAAACATTTCAAGCCTATTTACCGTCCACAAATCGGACCTATTCATGTGTTCATTGCCGAGCTCATTTGGCCTCACACGATGAGCTTATCTCAAAATCATTTCAGGGTAGTCAAGGACCAGCATACCTCTTTAATTCCGTGGTCAATGTCGGCTGTGGCCAGACGGAAGAAAGGGTACTGTTAACCGGCCTACACGCCGTGGCCGATATTTACTGTGAATGCTGTAAAACTCCGCTGGGTTGGAAGTACGAGCATGCCTACGAGTCGAGTCAAAAGTATAAAGAAGGCAAATATATAATCGAACTGGCCCATATGATCAAGGAGAACGGTTGGGATTGAACAATGGCGTCAGCGATAGCAGTGAACGTTTATCGAATGTCGAATGTTCTGTAAAATGTATGGAAGGCAGCAGCAACAGCATCAGCAACAGCAGCAATGGATGAACGCAACAGCAAAAGAAGGAAATGCAGATACATTATTGCTAAGACTAAGAACAAGAATAACAAAACAAAAACAAAATAACAACGATGGGACGTGATAAACGACGGCCGGCAATGTTGCGCACTGGTTCGGGGAGATATAGTGGCTGGGAGTTTAGTATTATAAAAAACAAACTCATTAAAAACAACAACAACGCCATATACCTACATGATCAACATTTCTAAATCAACAACAACATCAACATCCACCACAATATAGCAAAAGAAAATGTAACAGCAACTTAACATATTAAAGCGCCAGCGGAAAAATAGTTACAACAAGTAAATAGTTTAAATGTAAACACAGCAAGAAAAACGTACATACCTATATAATAGATACATATACACCTACATAAATCATACTGCGAGTAGGCTGATCAACTGGAGTGATAGCAAATTAAGTGAACAAAAAACCAGTAAGGAAAGCTCAAAAGTCGGGCGGGGCCGACTATATGATACCCTACACCACTATGCATATTTAGTAGAGCTCTCGTAAAAAGGTTTATACAGGGCATTTCAGAGCTCTATGAGATATTTGGTACAAAATCTATCTAATTCTATCGTGCATTTTACGAACTATAGCTATATCTGAACCGATTTTCACCAAGTTTGATGTATTTGATTCTAGGCTGAATTCGGTCAGATTTGCCAAAACCCAGGACATTTGGGCTGATATTGGACATTTGGTGCGCAATCAACACGAAATTGGATGAATATATATATAGGAGGTATATCCAAATCTGAACCGATATTTGTAAAACGGAAAAAGAAGATATTTCTTGGCTGCATCTGATACCAAATATTATTCTTGTATCGTACATTTTTCGAATTTGAGGGACTTAAAGTACAAATCGGATGAAAGGTATATATAGGAGCTATAGCTGTATCCGACCGATTTTCACTAAATTTGATGTACCAATATTAGCCATTTGCTGCACATTTAATCCGAAATCGGATGAAGATATATTTGGTAGCTATAGCTATATCTGAAACGACTTTTACTAAAATTGGTGTCCTTGCTTCTAGGCTGAATTTGGCCAGATATGCCAAAATTCATGCCATTTCGGTTGATATTGGCCATTTGTTGCACAATTAACTCGAAATCGAATGAAGATACATATGGGTGCTATATCCAAATCTGAACAGATTTTGAGAAAATTAAAAGCGACTACTTTTGGGCTTTATCTGATATCTGGTACCAAATATAATTCCTGTGAAGAGTATGCTATGCTATACTATATCCAAATCTGAACAGATTTTTATAAAATCAAAATCGACTATTTTTGGGCTTTATCTGATATCTGGTACCAAATATCATTCCTGTGAAGAGTATATTACGAATGTAAGGGACTTAAAGAGCAAATCGGATGAAACATATATACGGAGCTAGATCTATATCTGAACCGATTTTTACTAAAATGTGTGTACTTGCTTATATTCTGGTTTCGGTCGGATTTGCCAAAATTCATGCCATTTGGGCTGATATTGGCCATTTGATGCACAATTAACACGAAATCGGATGAAGATATATATGGGAGGCATATCCAAATCGGAACAGATTTTAATAAAATTAAAATCAACTATTTTTGGGCTTTATCTGATAACTGGTACCAAATATCATTTCTGTGGAGTGCATATTACGAATGTGAGGGATTTAAAGACGAAATCGGATGAAACATATATATGGGAGCTATAGCTATATCTGAACCGATTTTTACTAAAATTGGTGTACTTGCTTCTATGCTGGTTTCGGTCGGATTTGCCAAAATTGATGCTATTACGGCCATTTGGTGGTCAATAACCCGAAATCGGATGAAGATATATATGGGAGCTATATCCAAATCTGAACCGATTTCGATAAAATTTAAAACAGCTATTCCTGTGCTCCATCTAATACCTGGTACCAAATATCACGGTTGTGGAGTGAACATTACGAATGTAAGGGACTAAAACACTAAATCGGATGAAACATATATATGGTTGCTATATCTGTATTTGAACCGATTTTCACTAAATTTGATATACTTGCTTCTAGGCTGAATTTGGTCCGATGTACTAAAATTCAGTCCATTTGGACTTATATCGGCCATTTGATGCACAATTAACCCGAAATCGGATGAAGATATATATGGGAGCTATATCCAAATCTGAACCGATTTCGATAACATTACAAACAGCTATTTCTGGGCTGTACCTTATATCTGGTACCAAATATCACGGTTGTGGAGTGAACATTACGAATGTAAGGGACTAAAACACTAAATCGGATGAAACATATATATGCTTGCTATATCTATATCTGAACCGATTTTCACTAAATTTGATATACTTGCTTCTAGGCTGAATTTGGTCCGATGTACTAAAATTCAGTCCATTTGGGCTTATATCGGCCATTTGGAGCACAATTAACCCGAAATCGGATGAAGATATATATGGGAGCTATATCCAAATCTGAACCGATTTTCTCCAAATTTGTTGTATTTACTTTAAGGCTAATCTCGGTCACATGTGCCAAAATTCGGGCCATTTGGGCTGATATTGGCCATTTGGTGGTCAATTAACCCGAAATCGGATGAAGATATATATGGGAGCTATATCCAAATCTGAACCGATTTCGATAAAATTTAAAACAGCTATTTCTGTGCTCCACCTAATACCTGGTACCAAATATCACGGTTGTGGAGTGCATAGTAGGAATGTGAGGGACTTAAAGATCAAATCGGATGAAAGATATATATGGGAGCTATAGCTATATCTGAACCGATTTTCTCCAAATTTGATATACTTGCTTCTAGGCCGAACCCGGTTGGGTGTGCCAAAATTCAGGTAATTTGGACTGATAGTGGACATTTGGTGCTCATTTAACCCGAAATCGGATGAAGATATATATGGGAGCTATATCTAAATTTGATCCGATTCTCACCAATTTCAATAGGGTTCGTCCTTGGGCCAAAAAAATATTGTTTGGAAAATTTCATCTCAATCGGATAATAAATGCGACCTGCATTTTGTTCACAAGAATACATGGACAGACGGACGGACGGACGGACGGACGGACGGACGGACGGACGGACGGACGGACGGACGGACGGACGGACAGACGGACGGACATGCATAAATCGACTCAGAAAGTGATTCTATGAAGGTTCTCAAAAGTAACTATGGGTCTATCTCGTTTCCTTCTCCATGTTACAAACAAATGCACAAAGACATAATACCCTTACCACTATGTGGTGTAGGGTATAAAAAAGAAAAAAAATAGAAATCAGCAGCACTGGTCTATTTATTTTGGTGTCTGGACACAACAATAGCAGCAATTAGTGTTGATACGACATTAGGCCTTTGTTGCTAAGAATGAATGGAAATTCGAAGCAGTGCAAAGTTTAATTGTCGTTCTTTCTGCCGCCCGACAGCCAGTCAGCCTTCCAGCCTGCTTTTTGAAGGAGTTCATTATATGTAATGTTTTGGTTTTTTATTTCATTTGGTTTTACAAAAGTGCGTTTATAGTTTATATAGATGCATATGATTATTATTATAAGTATGTAGTTATATGTTTTTTTTTTTTTCAATTGAATTAGAAATCATATGAAATTCAGTGAAACAGTGAACAATTTTTTTCGCTGCTCAGCAAAATTTGAAGGAGAAAAAAGGAAAAATATTGCACGAAGGAAAAAAAAATGGCGGAAAGTTATAAAAAACACAATAAAATATAGAATGTAAATCGAAATTTGTAATGTGGAATATTTTCTAATGAAAATGACAGCTAAATTTGAACAAAAAACAAATGCAGATTTTTAGAATTTTTGCTGATAATTAAACGATCAAGGCCTGCATATGGTCGGACAGCAAGACCATCTGATAACCAAGTTTGCTGCCAAAATCATAATTGTGATTGAAATTTAAAAAAAAAGTTTGTTGTCAACAGTTGCCTTCTTGGCCCATCTTATGTAGGCTATATACCCACCTTATGTAGACCTTGAACTTAGAGGTCTATATCTATGGAATATTCTGGCAATTAGTCAATATTTTCTGAACAAGTTTTTATTCAGACAATCAAATGAAAAACTTCCCTTAATAAAGGATTGATATGTGAATATTTTTTATACCACAAGGTGGTCAGGGTATTATATCTTTGTGCATTTGCTTGTAACAGGCAAAAGGAAACGAGATAGACCCATAGTTGCTTCTGATTATCTGCATAGAGTCTGAGTCGATTTATGCATGTCCGTCCGTCCGTCTGTCCATGTATCCTTGTAAACAAAGTACAGCTGAAATTTTTCACAAGTCATTTATTTGACCCAAGGACGAACCCTATTGAAATCGGAGATAATCGGCCAAAAATTAGATGTAGGTCTCATATATATCTTCGTACAATTTGCCTTTTATTGTGCACCAGACGTGTAATATTAGCCCAAATAGTATAAAATTTTGCTCATACCACCAAATTAGGCCTGAAAATGTATAACAAATTTTATCGAAATCGACTCAGATATAGCTATAGCTCCCACATATATTCTTCATCCGATTTGTTATTTTTGTCGTCCGTAACCGTAATATGCCCTCTGTAACAACGATATTTGGGCGTTTTGCTAAATTTTATGAAAATCGGTTCAGATTGGATATAGCTCTCATGAAAATCTTCATCCGATTTGCCTATAAATGTGCGCCAAACTTGTAATATCTGCCCAAGTAGTATAACATTTTTCACATACGACCAAATTAGGCTTGAAAATAAGTATACCAAATTTGAGCGAAATTGGTTCAGACGTAGCTATAGCTCCCATATATATTGTCCATCCGATTTGTTATTTTTGTCATCCGTAGCCGTAATATGCACTCTGTAACAACGATATTTGGGGAAATATATAAAATACAGCTCAGAAATACCTTTGCTAAATATTATGAAAATCGGTTCAGAAAAAATTAGGCCTGAAAATAAGTATATCAAATTTGATCGGAATCGGCTCATATATAGCTTTAGCTCCCATATATATTTTTCATCTAATATGCAATCCGTAACAACGATATTCGGGGAAATATATCAAATACAGCTCAGAAATACCTTTGCTAAATTTTATCGAGATCTGTTCAGATTTGTGTATAGCTTCCATGTATAATTTAATTCTCACAAATTCCCCATAACAACTTTTATTTGTTATGTGAAGCTCTACTAAATATGTAAAGTGGTGTAGGGTATTATAAAGTCGGCCATGCTCGACTTAGAATCTTTATTTACTGGTTAATTTTCCAATTGTCCTTGGATAGCATCGATTTCAATTCTAAATGGTTTTTCTTTAATAATTCAAAAAAGTTTTAAAAAAATGCACATAAGTCTCACGACACAATATACATATGTAGATATGACAATTTTTAAATGAAATATTCCATTGATGAAATATTCCAATTATCTTCCACAACAATATTCCTTATTATTTC